GGTAAAGGTAAAGGCAATCCCCTTGACATAAATGAGTGCTGGTGGTGCAGTGGTTAAATATCTGTACTGCAGCCACTTGCTCACAAACCATGAGGTTGTGAGTTCAGCCAGGGGGCTCAGACTCGACTCAGGCTTGTATCCCTCCAAGGTTGCTAAAATGAGTACCCAGCTTGTTGGGGGCAATTAGTTTACACATTGTAAATCACTTAGAGAGTGCTTAAGTGCACTGATAAGTGGTATAGAAGTGTTGCTATTGCTACTTGCTATTGTCTAGTTATAACCAACTGTAGGGGGTGGTGCTCATCTCCGTTACTAAACCAAAGAGCCAGAGTAGTCTGAGGACTACTCTGGTGGTTATATGGTCAGCATGACTGCACCAAAGTGGTACGTATTTATCTCCTTGCATTTGCATGCTTTTGAACTGCTAGGTTGGCAGAAGCTGGGACTAGTGACAGGAGCCCACCCCATCATGCAACACTCAGGCCTCGAACAGCCAACCTGCTGATTTTCTGATCATCAGAATTGGCATCTTAACCACTAAGCCACTGGTCCCAAGCATTTTGGATAAAGGAGACTCAACCTGTAATCTGAGAAAGAATGGGGAAAGTGGGAGTCGAAGAGATACACTGGGACACATTCAAAGCAGCTGAAAAAGTGGGACAACAGAGGATTAATCAGGACTATGCTTACTGAATCAGGACAGTTAGAGGGTATGTCACCATTACCATCAGTCCCAAACACCTTTCTGAATAAGGACAGTTAGAGGTTGTGTCATCATCACCAGCAAACCCAAACACCATTTCTGTCTCTCACTGCCTTTAGTCATATAAGAATTTGGTCAGCATCCCAGAGCTAAATCCATCCTGTTTTGCACCTTTTGATTGCTTTGCCTGCATGACATGGTTGTTACCGTGCAGGTGGCTGCTTTCCATCTTCCAAGTCTCTGGTTTCCAGCTGAACTGGAAATGTGCAAAAGGTGGACTCTACCTCCCCCTCTTTCTACTTCCTGCAGAGCATGTCAGCCAAGGTTTGCAAGGATCCACACTCCTCTCATCAAAAAAGACCGTTTATTTAGGCCACAGAAGAGCAAAATCCCTTGTATTTGACACTGACTGGTTTACTTGCATAAGGGCTTATTTAATAATGCTTTCCAGCAGTCCAGATGTCCTTTTAAAGTCCATAATATAGTACATCACCACAGATGCAAAGTAATAACCAAGACCAAAAACAAGATAAGTGCAATCATTTTTTTAAAAAAATGGAAGAAAAGCACAGAAGATTATTTTAAGTACCTGCAAATGAGGATCTGTGATAGGTATAAAACAATACCAAATAGCTCTTAGTCATATGAATTTAACTGTCTTTTATTGGGACCTATGACCCTTAAAAAAGACTCTTGCATGTCTTGTTGTTTTTAGTCTGTTAACCTGGGAGCAGGTCTATCTCTTTCTTTTAAGTAGACATGAGTCACTTTGGGAGACCATATTTGTTAGGAGAGAAGTTGTAAAAGTTGAATAAATAAAAGACATTGTTACTTGTGTGACAACCAATCCTGCTGAAAGTCCCTTTTCTACATAACTATTAAAAGCTCAGGAATACTGTTCCTTATGAAACCTGACAACCCGAGTGGAGGTGGGGGTTAGGTTTTGGGACATGCTCCTGGGCTCTTGGATAAATGGGAGCAGAGGTTCGAACACATTGGCTGTGCCATTGTGGGAAATCTAAGGCCAGAATTTGGCTGTAACACCTATGCTAGTGTTCAAATCCTTACCCAAGTGGTTGATTTTTTTCACCTGATGCCTATGTGTCTGTCTCTAGTGTACCCATTCATTCTATAAGCATGCATACATCTCTCTCACTTTTTACTTAGTGAATGAGGAGGTAATTAACCTTTACACAATGGGAGAGCACAAGGCTATGACAGCCCTTATGCAACTCTGGCATTCAACATGACTGTGTTGGCATATATTTCCAATATGCTAAAAATGTTTAGGAACATGGCCCCCCAAAAGCTTTTTTCCCCTAAGAAGTGCATTAAGCCATCCATTGTACAGTCAGCCCTCCTTATCCACAGATTTTTTATTCATGGATTCAAGCATCCACGGCTTGAAAATATTCCCTAAAAAGGTGTAAATTCCAAATAGCAAACCTTGATTTTCCATTTTATTTAAGGGACAGCATTTTGCCATGTCATTGTTTTTCAATGGGCCTTGAGCATCCACAGATTTGTTATCCATGGAAAGTCCTGGAACCAAACCCCAGTGGATAACAAAGATCCATTGTATTCAATCAAGTGGTTGGCACCCTCATCCCTGGTGTTGCAATTTCAGCAAAGCAGCAAAACCAGGGCTACTCACCTTGAGTCAACTAAACATGACTGACTGCTAGAGTTTCCAGGTTTCAGGACCTGGATGCTGTTCTCTAGTCCAGTTGCTGTTGCTGTTTGTGTTCAAGTCATTTCTGACTTATGGCAACTCTAAGGCAACCCTATCATGGGATTTTCTTCGCAAGAGTTGTTCAGAGGAGGTTTGCCATTGCCTTCTCCTGAAGCTGAGAGTGTGTGACTTGCCCAAGGTCACCCACTGGGTTTCATGGCCGAGCTGGGAATCAAACCCTGGTCTCCAGAGTCATAGCCCAACACTCAAACCACTACGCCACAATGGCTTTTACCTTCTAACTATCCTGATTTGGCAGGGACAGTCCCATTTAATCCTCTGTTGTTCCACTTTTTCAGCTGTTTTTTAAAATGATCCAGTTTCTTTCTCATTCTCATATTTCCCTTGGTCCTACAGGCTTACAGGCCTGGCCCATGGAAGAAGTTGTTACTTGTTTCACTTGGCTCTCTTATGCTGTCATTTTGCTGCCAATATTTTGCTCCCCAGGGAGATGAGCTAGGACCAGCCCTTTCGTTTACTTTTCTACAGAAAAAGAACAAAGATGGATCAGAAGGTAGAAAGCCAGCATAAGGAAAGATCAGCCTTGACATTGTTTCCCAAAGTGACTGGCATGCCAGTGAATAATAAAAAATATATATTGTCCAGCAAAAGTGCCATTCTGACACCCTCCTAAGGTACCATCCCTATTCCTAAGTGACAAGCAATGGATCACTGCATTGTACATTATAATGACTTGTCTTCCCTGCCTTGGCTTCTTAGGCTAGGAGTTGTGCAACAAATTGAAAAACAGCAAGGCTTGCTTAAAACTAGAATAAACCAAAAGGGAACCCTTTAAATTTCAACCCATAGTGTATTACAGCCCCACAGTTGAGAAACAAAAAGGTAAAATATGGGTTTTGTTTGCCTGTATCAATTTTGTTTTCTCAATCTCTTTTTCCCTATGAAGCAAAGGTATCTGAAGTGAGTGTCAGGTTTGTTTTGTATATTCCAAGTTTTCATGGTAATAAATTATGTCTCCAATCTGCCTTCTTTTTGTGCATCTGTGTGTAAAGAAGATAAAGCAGGAGAGGGGAATCCAGCTCTTGCCTACAGTTTTCTAATCTCATGAAAGTGATTCAGTATTGGTAGATAGTATTCCAAGGAAACAGCACAACTCAGTTATCTCCTGTGATATTAGCCTGGAGTCTTTAAATATTTAAAGATGTCATTCTAAGAGATGTCATTGCACAGTTCTATTGGGCTGGGGTGTGTTTTTATACTAGCAAAAACACAATCCAAGTTGGGTTGGGAAAATTTAAATATTGAATGTATTTGCAACCAGGGGTCAGTGTAAATTGCTTGCAGCATCCATGATACAAGTTTAGGGTTGTCATTTTAGGTTCATCTCAGGCCCTGAGATTTCTGGGCCAAAACCTGAGACTTGGGGATGGTCCTAGGTGATGCCACTAAGTGTTAGGCATTATGTACCATCTACACAGGTGTAGTGGTTTGAGCATCAGACAGTGATGCTGGAGATCAGGGTTTGAATGGAAACGCACTGGGTAACCTTGGACAAGTCATAGTCTCTCAGCCTCAGGGGAAAGCAAAGACAAACTCCTGTCTGAACAAATCTTGCCAAGAAAACCCCATGATAGAGTTGCCTTAGGTTTACCATAAGTTGGAAACAGCAGCAGAAGTGGAAGGCACATGAAAAGAGAAGAGAAAAGAAAGTGGAAAGGTCCTGCTGCCCAGTCAGGTGTTTAGCCAACAAATGAAAATCGCAGGAACACAAATTTTGCTGAGCATTAGGAGAAACTTATCCAGACCATAGTATTTTCACTGTCTATGTATGGAGATGAAAATTGGATAGTGAAGAAAGCTGACAGGAAGAAAATTAACTCAACTGAAATGTGATGCTGGAGAAGACTTCTAAAGATAACATAAATGGCCCAAAAAATAAATGAATGGTTCTCAAAGCAAATAAAATCTGAACTCTTTCTAGAAGCAATGATGACTGAATTGAAGCTGTCATATTTTGGATATATATTAAGATGACATGACTCACTGGAAAAGACAATTTGTTGTTGTTAACTACTGTCAAGTCAACTTCAACTTATGATGACCCCTTTTATGAGAGACCTCCAGGTCACTCTATCATCAAATACACTGCTCAGGTCCAGCAGACTCAGGGCTATGGCTTCATTGATTGAGTTTATTCAGCTGGAATGTGGTCTTCCTCTTTTCCTACTGCCTTCTACTTTACTAAGCATTATTGTCTTTTGTAGTGAATCATGTTCTCTCATTATATGGCCAAAGTATGACAGCCTCAATTTAGTCATCTTGGTTTCTAGGGAGAGTTCAGGCTTCATTTACTCCAGGACCCATTCACATTTTTTTAGTAGCCCAGGGTATCCACAAGACCCCTTCTCCATCACCACATTTCAAATGAATTTATTTTCTTCCTATCACTGTCCAGGTCTCACAGTCATAGGACATTATGATGACATTGACAGTCCTAACTTTTGTATTCAGTTATATATCTTGACACTTCAGGATCTTGTCTAGTTCTTTCATAGCTGCCCTTCATGATTTCTTGACTGCAAACTCCATTTTGATTAATGACTGAGCCATGTGGCATAGTGGTTTAAATGTTGGACTATAACTCTGCAGATCAGGGTTCGATTCTGTGCGTGGCCATGAAAACCACTGGGTGGCCTTGGGCAGGTCACAGCCTCAGGAGAAGGCAATGGCAAACTTACTCTAAACAAATGTTGCAAAAAAACAAAACAAAACAAAAAAACAAAACAAAACAAAAACACGCTAGGGTCTCCATAATTCAGAAACAAAGGCACACAACAACAACTAAGTGTGGAAAATATTGAACTATTTCAGTGACTTCATTGTCTGCTTTAAAGTTATGCAAATAATTTGTGGTCATTATTTTTAAATGCTTGCTATAGCAAAAAGCATTAGGAAAAGATGGAGGCTGCACTATGGTGGTCTTGACTGATTCAATCCATGAAACCACAGCCCTTTGGAAGACTTTGGAAGACCTTAATGACTGGAGCTTTGGGGACCATCCTATACCATAAATTGAAGTCAACTTGACAGCAAATAACGACAACAACTTAGGAGAAACATTCCAACAGTTAGAGCTGTTCAGCAAGTAGAGCAGGTTTTTTTTTCAGATGGTGATGGCTTCAATTTTACTGAATATATTTAAGCAAAGTCTGGATGGCCATCTGTAGCCGCATCTTGCATCACAGAGCAGAAGACTGGGCTGGAGTTGGAAGAATGATTGCCAAAGTCCTTTGATTCTGTGATTCAATGATCCCTCTTTGTGTTTAATGAAAGAAGGGGCCTATTCTTAGGAGTTTAGCACACAGGGAAAATTGAAAGTTTAAACTAGACAGAACCCGGGGTTATGCAGAGTATTAGGTACAATGCGCAATTAGTTTTCAGACAATGCTGCATGCAAACCGCTTGGAATCTGAACAGAAAATGACATGAATCAGGGAGTAGTCATTTTCAGGGAAAATACTGTGTTTTCATTTCCATTTCATTCATGAATTAACTTTCTTTGTGCAATTGCTGTAGTGTGAAAGCTATTTGTGGGATTCTTCCCATTTTTGTGCTTGTTGAAAGATTTCCTATGGTTCTTTGCTGCTTTGTTGTGCCGAGAGGGACACAGCCTTTTATGCTTCAGCCAGGTTCCTAAAGCATCAGCAGGTACATGTGTGTGCACGTATACACACATACACACACAGAGAGAGAAAAAGCTTGCTTCTCTCCCTCTCATGTAGCTCAAATGTCTCCTCCTCCTCCAGCCTCAGCCTCAGCCGGTGAGGGAAGGAACAGAAGGGATGCAGCAAAAGAGAAGTTTTCTCTTTCCTTTCCTACTTCTTTTGGGTAATGTTCTGTTCTTTTTACTTCGGGGCAAGTTTACTTCCTGGCTTTGTCATGTCCAACTGAAAACAGCTTCTGGGTCAAAGAGTGTTTTCCTCCCCATTTTCCCTTCCCTCTGGAGCATGTGTGCGTATGCACTTGGAAATGACAGTTTTGTCTTATGGGAGTTTGCAAATGGAAATCTCATCCTTCCTTCCTCTGAAATAGCTTCTGGGGCAAAGAGTGTTTTCCTCCCCATTTTCCCTTCTCTCTGGAGCATGTGTGCGTATGCACTTGGAAATGACAGTTTTGAGTGATGCAACGACAGTTTTGAGTGATGCAACTGGTGATGCAACTACTGCTTCTGTGTGCATGTGTAAAAAAGTTATTTTCAAACCATCAATGGGATTTGTCCACATTTTCTACCCACTTTCTCATATTAGTAATGTGCTTTTAACACTTGGTTGTGCTCTGCATATGAAAATCAATTGTGCGTTTGTGTGCTTTTCTGGGATGCAGATGTTTTAATCAATTTCAGGATGGAAGCACATAGGTCCCCATGTGATAAACTCCTTAGTCAGATTTGTGTAACTGAAGACTAAGAACTACTTAGCATCATGAGTTACTAATGAGAGATGTAGGGATCTTGTATCATGAAATGAAGAAGCCTAGCCCAGTTTGGTTATCTAAGGAGATTATTGCACCAGCTGTTTTTTCCAATCTGGGCACGGGCTGAGACCGTTCATTGCTAAGATTGGGAGAAGTCCCAATCAGGTATGGGATGCCTCTGATCTAGGCATGAAGCTGTGCCCAGATTTGGAGAAAAAGCTATGCAATAATCTCCTAAATCAACTTTATATTTTTAGAGACATATACCTAAGATGTTTCAAATGTATAGGGATGTAAAGTAGATATGTGAAAGAATAATTTTTGCACACTAGTGTATCACTTTGGGTAAATTCAACAGTTACTGGCTTCAGTTGTATAGGCAATCTTCTCTTTGCAGTGTGAGCTGATCTTTGAAATCTATTACTTTTAAAAATCTCAGTGAGATGGTATAAGAGATAGTGTGGTATATTGGTTTGAGTGTTGAACTAAAACTCTGAGAGATTAGGGTTCAAGTGCCTGTTTGGCAACAGAAACCCACTGGATGATCTTGGGCAAGTCACACACTCTCAGCCATAGAAGAAGAAATGAAAAACCCACTCTTAATAAATCTTGCCAAGAAAACCTTGTGGTTGGGTAGCCTTAGGCTCACCATAATGACTTGAAGGCACACAACAAAATAGTGTGAAGTAACACATTTTCTTGAAATGTTTATGAAGGCAATATTATAAACCAGCATTTCATTTTGCATCTCTATTTTTTCTTTAAAAAAAACCTTACTTTGACTTTTCAGCCTATTGCAAAATGCATAAATCATACCTACATGATGTAAATTCCAATCACTGTAGTCTCATATTTGCTTTTTTAATAATAATTATAAAGCCCTACACCAACTACAGCTGTTGCTGTCAGGTTTTTTTGGCTAAATCATCGGCAGGGCAAACTTCACATCTGCATCATGTAACATTTGGCAGGTAGGATAAGTGAGCTCATTAAGTTGAGTGTCACAGGAGGTGAAAGTTAGAAGGTTATCTCATCCCTGGTGGCTTGATTTTTTACAGAAGGATTTCCCTTTCTATCTAGAAGATGTCAGTCTGAGCATAAAACTCAACAGAAGTACTTCAAGCTCCCTTTCACAGCTCTATTCTCATTTTGGAACACAGTTGTTTCAAGGCTATCCATGTGTGAAGTTTAGCAGATAGAAAAACTGGACAGGGAATGGAAGATTTCTTCAGAAAAAGCAAGTTGACAGATATTAAAGATATTAATACTTTATATTTTTTGTCCTAGATCAACCAGCTGCAACAAGAGCACTTGTCTCAACTGAGCTGTTCCACATCCCACAACATTTCACCTATGGAAAGTCATAGAATCATAGAATCATAGAGTTGGAAGAGACACCAAGGGTGATCCAGTCTCTGGAGCAGAAGAAAACAAGTCGTTCCATCCTCAATGTGATACCTCTTCAAATATTTAAACAGGGCTTCATATCACCTATTAACTGTCTCTTTTCTAGGCTAAACATACCTAGCTCTTTAAGGGCTGATGCAGACGGTCCATAATGGGTGGCTCTGTGCCACCCCTGGGAGCACCGGATCGGGGCCATGGCAACAACTGCACAACCTGGTGGCGCAGTGGTTAATTGCCTGTACTGCTGCCACTCACTCATAGACCACAAGGTTGCAAGTTCAATATTAGCCAGGGCTCAGGCTAGACTCAGGCCTGCATCCTTCCGAGGTCGCTAAAATGAGTACTCAACTGTTGGGGGGCAATGAGCTTACAGTTGTTAACCGCTTAGACATCCCATAGTGCGATATGAAGCGGTATATAAATCAAGCTGCTTTTGGCCCGATCTGGCTTTTTGCCACTCTCAAAAGAGCAAGCAAATGCCGCTTCTTTTTGAGGCAGCAAAAAGCCAACCTTAGAGCTGCCACCATGGCTCTTTTGCACACCTTTGGCACAGATGCCATGCAGTCGGGAGCACAGTGTCTGGGTGAAGTCAGGGCGGCTGGTGTGTGGTCGCCTTGCCACAACACCACCCCCAGGCTGGCTCTTTAGGCCAGTCTGTATCAGCCCTAAGTCTCTCTTCGTAGGGCATGGTTTTCAGACCCTTCACCATTTTGGTTGACCTCCTCTGAACATACTCCAGCTTCTCAGCATCCTTTTTGAATTGTGGTGCCCAGAACTGGACACAGTATTCCAGTTGAGCCCTAACCAAAGCAGAATAGAGTGGTACTATTACTTCCTGCAATCTTGACACTATACTTCTATTGATGCAACCTAGAATCGTATTGGCTTTTTAAGCTGCCACATTATACTTCTGACTCATGTTGTTATCTTCAAGGACTCCTAGATCCCTTTGACATGTACAAGTGGGACATATGTGACCAAGTAACATCAGAGTATGGTCAGGATAGTAAAGAGGTATTACTGAGGAAGATCAGACAAGCTTAAAAAGAGAATAGCAGTTTGCTTTTGCCTGAGTCTACTGGGAAGAGCAAGATCCCACCTCTACTCTCTTTTTTGCTCTCCCATTGAGTACAAACTAATTTTGAATTTTGAACTTAGTCTGCATCAATTAAAGTAAATTGAAGACAAAGAGCGAAAGTATGAGGAGGAGAGAGAAACTGGGACATATGAAAATCAGCTGAAAAAGTAGGATGATAGAGAATTAACAGGGACTGTTCCTGCCAAATTGGAGCTGATAAAGTATTTTGGAATAGCTAGGCCTTGTGTGTGAAGTGAAGAAGATCCCTTGCTTTGATTTTAACTGCAGAAGTAATTTCCCAGTTAAGAAGAAAACCAATTTGTTGATTAAGGTCAACATTAGTGTTCATAGGACTCTGGGCCTCACCCTGACACTCCAGTTTTCATGAGTCATCTCCAGGCAGGAGCAAAGGTTCAAATTCTCCAGTTTTGGAGGACTCACTTTTAGACAAGAGGAAAGAGCTCTGTGCAAATCTCTAGCACAGCTAGTAGAGCCGCAGTTTGCTAATATTTCCACTACTAAAGGGGTTTATTGCTGCAAGTTACAAAGATTCTCCAAAGGGTTTCCATATTTACTTAGTTAACTTTCCCCCCCCAGTGATCACCCACTCTGGTGATAGCTATCACACAACAATGCCTCTGACCCATACTTGCTGCATCCTCCAACCACAATTAAGGCATCCCTTTTCATTGACAGAGGAAACGTGTCAATGTGCTCT